TTGACACTGATCTGGATGATTCTAAATCACAATTCGGATACGTATTTTTGTTGAATGGTGGAGCTGTCAGTTGGTGCAGTTCCAAGCAGAGCGTCATGGCGGGATCTACATGTGAAGCGGAGTACATTGCTGTCGGAAGCAGAGAATGAAGGAGTCTGGATGAAGGAGTTCATATCTGATCTAGGTGTAATACCTAGTGCATCTGGTCCAACAAAAATCTTTTGTGACAATACTGGAGCAATTGCCTTGGCGAAGGAATCCAGATTTCACAAAAAGACCAAACACATCAAGAGACGCTTCAACTCCATCCGAGATTTGGACAAGGAGGGAGACATAGAGATTTGCAAAATACATACGAATCTGAATGTGGCAGACCCCTTGACTAAGCCTCTTCCACGAGTAAAACATGATCAGCACCAAGACTCCATGGGTGTTAGATTCATTACAATGTAGTCTAGATTACTGACTCTAGTGCAAGTGGGAGACTGAAGGAAATATGCCCTAGAGGCAATAATAAAGTTGTTATTTTATATATTTCCTTGTTAATGATTAATGTTTATTATTCATGCTAGAATTGTATTAACCGGAAACTTGATACATGTGAGAATGCATAGACAAAACACTGTGTACGTAGTATGCCTCTACTTGACTAGCTCGTTGATCAAATATGGTTAATTTTCCTAGCCATGGACATGAGTTGTCATTTGATGAACGGGATCACATCATTGGTGGAATGATGTGTTGGACAAGACCCATCCATTTTCTTAGCATAATGATCATGCAGTTTTATTGCTACTGCTTTCTTCATGTCAAATACATATTCCTTCGACTATGAGATTATGCAACTCCCGGACACCGGAGGAATGCCTTGTGTGCTATCAAAAGTCACAATGTAACTGGATGATTATAAAGATGCTCTAAAGGTATGTCTGAAGGTGTTTGTTGGGTTGGCATAGATCTAGATTAGGATTTGTCACTTCGAGTATCGGAGAGGTATCTCTGGGCCCTCTCGGTAATGCACATCATATGATGCCTTGAAAGCAATGTGACTAATGAGTTAGTTGCGGGATGATGCATTACAGAACGAGTAAAGAGACTTTCCGGTAACGAGATTGAACTAGGTATGAAGATACCGACGATCGAATCTCGAGCAAGTAACATACCGATGACAAAGGGAATTACATATGTTGTCATAACAGTTCGACCGATAAAGATCTTCATAGAATATGTAGGAACCAATATGATCCAGGTTGCGCTATTGGTTATTGACCGGAGAGGTGTCTTGGTCATGTCTACATAGTTCTCGAACCCGTAGGGTCCGCACGCTTAATGTTCGATGACGATATGTATTATATGAGCTATGTGTTTTGGTGACCGAAGGTTGTTTGGAGTGTCGGATGAGGTCATGGACATGACGAGGAGTCTCAAAATGGTCGAGAGGTAAAGATTGATATATTGGAAGGTTATATTCGGACATCGGAATGGTTCCAGAATGTTTCGAATAATTTTTCGGAGTACCGAGGGGTTACCGGAACCCCCCGGGGAAGTAATGGGCCTTATTGGGCCATAGGGGAGAGAAGAGACCGGCCACAGGAGGTGCCCCCCCATGAGGAGTCCTAATACGACTAGGGGAGGGGGCGCCCCCCCCCCTTCCCTCTCTCTCTCCCTCTCCCTTCCCCCTTTTCCCCTCCGAAAAGGAAGGGGGGTCCGAATAGGACTGGGAGTCCTCGAAGGACTCCCCCCCACTTGAGGCGCGCCCTGGCCGGCCCCCTCTACCTCCCTCCTTTATATATGGGGGGCGCCCCTTGGGCAACACAACAATTGTCTCTTAGCCGTGTGCGGCGCCCCCTCCACCGTTTACTCCTCCGGTCATATTGTCGCGGTGCTTAGGCGAAGCCCTGCACGGATCAGATCACCATCACCGTCACCATGCCGTCGTGCTGACAGAACTCATCTACTCCTTCGAACCTTTGCTGGATCAAGAGCTCGAGGGACGTCATCGAGCTGAACGTGTGCAATACTCGGAGGTGCCGCACCTTCAGTGCTTTGATCGGTTGAATCGAGAAGACGTTCGACGACATCAACCGCGTTAAGCTAACGCTTGCGCTTTTGTTCTACGAGGGTACGTGGAAACACTCTCCCCCTCTCGTTGCTATGCATTTCCTAGATAGATCTTGCATGAGCGTAGGATTTTTTTGAAATTGCATGCTACGTTTCCCAACCTGGAGGGGGGGGGAGCTGCCCACAAGGCACCAGGGTGCGCCACCTCCCTCTGGCGCCCTGGTGGGTAGTGGGGCCCACGAGGCTCCGCTGACCCTAATTCCGAAGCTATAAAATCCTATTTTCCCAGAAAAAATAGGAGAGGATGTTTCATCGCATTTTACGATACGGAGCCGCCACCACCTCCTGTTCTTCATCGGGAGGCCAGATCTGGAGCCTGTTCGGGGCTCCGGAGAGGGGGATCCTCAGTCTTCATCATCACCAATCATCCTCCATCACCAATTTCATGATGCTCATCGCCGGGAGTGAGTAATTCCTTTGTCGGCTCGCTGATCGGTGAGAGGTTGGATGAGATTCATCATGCAATCGAGTTAGTTTTGTTAGGGTTTGATCCCTAGTATCCACTATGTTCTGAGATTGATGTTGCTATGACTTTGATATGCTTAATGATTGTCACTAGGCCCCGAGTGCCATGAATTCATATCTGAACCATTTATGTTTTCACCATTATATACATGTTCTTGAGTCGATCCTGCAAGTTATATGCACCTATTATGTGTTATGATCCGTAAACCCCTAGGTGACAGCAATTGGGATACTTTCCGGTGATGACCGTAGTTCGAGGAGTTCATGTATTCACTATGTGTTAATGTTTTGTTCTGGTTCTCTATTAAAAGGAGGCCTTAATATTCCTTAGTTTTCTTATGGACCCCGCTGCCACGGAAGGGTAGGACAAAAGATGTCATACAAGTTCTTTTCCATAAGCACGTATGACTATTTACGGAATACATGCCTACATTATATTTATGAGCTGGAGTTAGTTTTGTATAACCCTAGGTCATGACTAATATATGATGAATATCATCCAACGAAATCACTGATCCAATGCCTACGAGCTTTCCACATATTGTTCTTGCTAAGTTAATATTGTTGTTGCTGCTGCTGCTGTCACCATTACTATTGCTGCTGCTACTATTGCTATCGCTATCAAACTATCATACTACTGTGCTACTGGTCACTTTGCTGCAGATATTTAATCTCCAGGTGTGGTTGAATCGACAACTCAACTGCTAATACTTACAAATATTCTTTGGCTCCCCTTGTGTCGAATCTATAAATTTGGGTTGAATACCCTACCCTCGAAAATTGTTGTGATCCCCTATACTTGTGGGTTATCAAGACATTTTACTGACGGCGTTGCCGGGAAGCATACCTATATTTGTTGAGTCACTTGAGATTTATATTTATTGATCACTATGAAGAATCTGAAAGATACCAAAACCAAGACCGTTCCCTCTAAGACGAGGGGAGGTAAGGAACTGCCATCACACTTTGCACTTGATTCACCTTCTGTTTTAAGTAAGCTTGCAACACCACCACATGCTATTAATCCTGATATGTCACAAGTTATTGATGATGTTACTTCTGTTATGAATGATGCTATTGATGATGGTAGTACTTTTCTTCAAGATAATGTGCCACTGGGTGAATTTCTTGATGAACAACTTGCTAGAGCTAAAGATATTGAGAATGCTGAAACTGATGAAATTATTGAAACTGAGAATTACGAAACACCTATTAGACCTAGCTCTCCTAGAGTTGAATTGCCTAAGATACCTAAGGGTTATGTTATGGATGGAGAGGTAGCTAGAGACTTTCTTGCTTGTAAAGTTATTATGGAAGTTGAAAGAAAAATCTTTGAATGCTAGAATGAAATGTGATCCTAAGTTTGCTACGCCACCTATCTTTGTAATTGATAAGGATTATGAGTTCTCTGTCGACCCAAAGTTAATTACTTTAGTTGAATCTGATTCTTTTGATGGCAATGAAACTGAAACTGTCAACCGACTGACTTTGGCTATTGTGGTCAGTTGATTTTGAATGTAGGAAGAAGGAAGGGACTCGCCGGAGAGAAGGAAGGGGCTCGCCGGAGGACTACCCCATTATCTATCTTAGGGTTTAGGGTGAGGGCGGTGGTGAGGCGATGGTAGGCTTCACGGGAGAAAAAAACTGAACACAGGCGAGGCTAGAGGGATAGCCGGGGCGGCAGCAAGACCTGCGATGGGGTCGGTTCAGGCGGTGTGACGAGGCGGTCACGGGAGCGGTGCTGGCCGCGGACGGTGGTGGCCGGCGGTTCGGCCGATCGTATGTTTGGCGGGTCGAAGAAGAAGGCTGGAGATAGAAGAAGCAATATGCACCATTTATTTTCCATCCAACGGCTGAAACGAAATCGACTGACCCGTATTCGTTTTTCAGGCGACTTACGTCTAGCCATTCCCGAACTTATACACACAAACAAAACTGGAAGGCGATGCAAACTGCGACGAAAACGTGAAAGAACTTGAACAAAAGGCACCAACATTACAGCCAGAGCACACATCATCCACTGCTTCTCAAGCAATACTTGTAACTTTTTAATCTCAAACAGACCAAGCTAAGCACACACATGCAACGACAGGTCACAGAGCGACAGGTTTTCCTGCAATACCAAATGGGCTAATCTTTCTACTCCTCACCATTGGTATTCCGGCAAGTCCCCTTTCATATCCAATACTTCCTTCAATCTGCTGCTCTCACTGCTAAATTGCCTGAGCCTAGCTACTTCGTACCATACACAATCATGGCTTTTGGGAAAAGCTATACTACAGTACCATATGCATACCAGCGAACAATAATGGTGCATTCGGCAAAGAGCTGCTGCTGCCAGAGGATTCCCCTCCTCATTTATGATAGAATCATCGGCGAAATCCTCGATCGGTCCTCAGGCCATTGTTCTATCTTCAGACGCTTGGCTGAACGGCGTTTGAATGGACCTGAAGGTGTCTTTCTTCACGATGGCTTACAATCCTGTGCTTCAGTTCTCCGCGGTGTGTTGTGAGCTCATCCAATATTTCAGCGTCGATCCTGCCGTCGCAGCTTCCTGAGATCGAGCCATCTTCCTCCTGCGCGCGTGAGGAACAAAAAATGTTTCAGATTAACATAGGATGACTGACACCTTGGGGCACTGCAGAGAATGAAACAAAAACAAAAGGAGAAAAATTATAGGAGAAGACAAGCTGAAGTTATATATAGTTATATACCAGTAGTGTGTGTTCATGTTGGACCCCTTCAAGTTCTTCGTACTCAGCGGCGTCCAGTTCGCGCAAGTCATTGGGCTCAAAAAACTTGGGGAGCAGGTACTGCCTGATGAGAATCATGAGGAAGAAAGGCAGCGGGAAGAGAATCCCAGCTATCGGTATCCATGTCGTGCCGAAGCATATCAAGAAATACACAATCTGGAAGATCGTAAAGACATATATCGTTCTCGGAGACACCGATTCCACGAATGATGCATGGGGACCTTCCAAGACCCTGCAATTGTCACAATACCAAGGGTTGGTGCATTCTGTTATGGAAACGCCGAATCTTAACAAAAATGGTGTGATGCAAAAGGAAGCATTCATTTGTTCAGATTAGATGAACAGATGCAGAATCGACATTACTTGTAGCGTCGGCTTGCTCCAATGCACAAAAATTGTATCCTTTCCCAAAACTGGTTCCCTGGTAGGCTATCAATGGCCATGTAGGCAAAGTAACCCCAGAGGACCGAAGTCGGTATCATCTTGATAACCGGCATAGCTCCGACGCAGCCACCAACCAGCAAGGACTGCAGCAGGTTGCTTGGTCTCTGTTCGTTCACTCGAACGGGCAAATGTGCTTCGATATGTTTTCTAGGATCAAATTCTCCAGCCAATTTCCCATCCTCATCACCTTCACGCAGCACTGCATCCTTCAAGCTCTTCAAGTCCTTGTCAACAGAATCAGCCTGCAGACAGATTTTTTAGCCTAGAAGTCATTTTGGCAACTGTTGCAATATCATTCATTACAAAAAACTTAATTTGTTGTGCATGACATGAAAGGGAAATTAGATAGGAAGATGACAAAGATTGAGAAACTCACATCCTGTTTATTATCCATTTCGATGAACACTTCATGCATCTTGCCATAGATTTCCAAACTGCTTGCACGGTTCGACATGCCCTCTTTGGCAGTTCGAAGCATCTTTTTGCGCATTAACTAAATTGACAGAAAAAAGAGAAGAGAGATGAGCAAAACTGGCTACTGTAGCAAATGGTTCAAATCAGTCTGAATCTCACTCACCTGCCCCTTGAGGACAGCAAGGCTCCTTGTATGCATGGGGGACTGAGGAAGTACTCCATTTGCTGGAGGAATGCCAATCAAACCGCATATTAGGACCTGCACCATTCACATATATACTATGAGAAAAGGATACATGACATGGTACATCGGAATTTGGAGTTAAAATGTAGTCAGGTATCGGGATAGACGGGGAGGGGCGGTGTGTATGCTGGCCTCGTATTGCCCCTCCATAATATTCCTCATTCTTATATTTGTTTTTTTCTTCCAAAAAGGAGGTTGAAACCCCCGGCCTCTGCATCATTAAGATGCACGTGAGGAATAAAAATGTATTTTCATACTTTTCAATAGCATATGTAGTTGGTTGTTATAGGTTCTTAAGAAAATCGTGACAAGACATAATACAAAAGAAGAGTGTGCAAATAGAATGAATTAGACACCATGTACCATGAATCCAAGTACCAAAATGTCATAATGGTAGGCAGAAGGTTTCTTCAAATTGAACTCCTGTTGCTGAGCCAACTGTGAAGCCACACTATGATCGAAGAAGTACAGTCCTGCAACCATCAAAGCAGGCACGATGGCTGCAAATATATATACTGGAGGGACCGAAAGCAAATCCTGAAAGTAAACGCCAAATAAAAAACATTCATGAGTACCATGACACACAATTTTTATAAGCTTTACTAAGTTTGAACTGCGAAGGCCACGAATAATATTTACACATGTAGAACCACAAGTAATTTGACTTGATACCTTTGCCACGGTCCAATGCCCCAGTGAACTTGACTCCCAGGGTAGTGGGCTGAAGAGCCTCCTAGGCACTCCTGAAGGGACACCGCTCGGTAGTGCGTACGAAAATGCCGTCCACGCGATCACCATAAGAGGGACGCCATAATCCGCAATGAAGCTTCTGATCCATCCTGCAAATGGCAACTCAAAGGCAAAGTGATCAGTGAACATGGCAGAGAGCTCGGTTTGCACTTCACTGGTATACACAACAAGATATAAATGGAGTGAAGGTGTGACCAACCTATGCCATACAACCATGACCTTGCCCGCCTAGTCTTGAGTGCACTGTATAGCAGGCCAATTGAGAAGATAACACCAAGTAGGCCATTGACATATATCCACTGGAACTGGTATATGGGCGAACTGCGGTCAGAGATCTTGGCATCTTTCGGCATACTAAACTCACTCACGATTCCCTGCAATACATGGATGGTGCCCCTATTAAATATCGTCGCCACGGTGAAAATAACTATGGTTAATTTGCTAGACATGATAGCATACCTTGATAGCTTCTTGCAGGAAGAGAACGGTGATCAACATCCCGAAAAGTTCTCCTGCAACCCTCGTGAATCTGCTTATCACATTGGAAGCATTGAACATTGCCAACAGAAACAGCATGATAGCAGTCCAAATGCAGACCCTGGATGTCAAGAGAGAGCATGCAATTACGTTTACAATATCAAAGCTATCCACATCATGAGGGTGAAAACTATTTTAGTACCTATACTACGTACCATCCAGCCCAAGCTAAATATAGCCGTTCTCCCAGACCCGGCTGCTTCTTGGCAAAGTTGTAGAGATAAGTGTACATGATAATAGTAGGTTCTGCCACTCCAACGATCATCATTGGCTGCCCGCCAAGAATCGCATGTATTATCCCACATATCGCCGTAGATGCCAAAGTTTCAACCGTGCTGAGAATACCATCTGAAACAGACCTCTTCTTAGTATTATAGATTGCATGCAAATTTAAACTTCCCCATGTGTAGTAGAGTGTGGTAATTAAGAGGGCAATGATTTACTTGTTAAGCTGTTTTACAATGGTTTTTCTTAGGCTGGTCATAGTGGGGAGTAACTTAGACTAGTAACATGCATATGTTACTAGTCTATGTTACTACCTCTATAGTGCATAGTATCATATAGTAGTATCATAGATGGTCTCATTTATTGCCATGTATGACACATAGTAGCATCACATTTATTATGTTACGGTATCTACCTATATTACTATAACCATCTCTCTCTTCTTTAATTACCTGCCACATAAGCACGTTTGCGAGTCCCAAGTACATGTTACTACTTATGTTACTCCCACTATGGTCAGCCTTACCTCTAGAGGGGTCAGAGTTGTAATGCGTCCTGGCCTTTGACTGTTGATGTTTTTTATTGCAAAAAGATTATACTGGATCCTACAATTAATGCAATGTGGCATAAAAAGGGGACTACTAATGCACATTATTGTCTTTCCTAAACAAATCAGACGCTTTATTCACCAAATCAAGGTGATTAAATTAATTGTTTTATCATTTGAGGAAAGGGGATTAAAGTACGGTTTTGCTAAAACTCATTCAGCTGAGAAAACTTTTGGTCTCATTCACTTTTTCCATCGTCAGATCCAATCACGTTGCGATTCGTGGTTTCTGTCGCTCGCAAGGCACAAGGCGCAGCCCATCTCTTGGTTGGCTCACAGCCCGTTTCTTTTTTCTGTCGCTCTTTTTTTCTTGTGTCACGCTGAGGGAGAAGACTCCGTGATGGGTTTTTTCCGTCGGCCTTGCTTGTGACATCGGGCCAGTTATTTTTCCTTTTTGTCCTAGGCTAGCAACAGGGGTGCACCGGAGATAATAAGACGGGTTTTTTCTGCATTTCGTTTTTCTTTGATGTTGTATTTTTTGTCCATTATTCCTATTTAACTCTCTATTTTACCTTCCTTTTTTTATATTTTTCACTTTTCTATTATTTTTTGGTTGGGAGAAAAATGTAAATATTTTTAAAACTAATTTCTACTCAGACGAGATTTGGTTAATTTTTGAAATGTATTAGAAGATATTTTTTATACTTTTTTGTGTTCCTTTTTTTCTCTTGTTTTTTATGATAATCATTATTTATATTTTTGACTCACGGAGAGGGTGATAGCTAGATACATTCTACTCCCCTCGTTCCTAAATATTTGTCTTTTTAGAAATTTCAAATGGACTACCACATACGGATGTATATAGACATATTTTAGAGTGTAGATTCACTCATTTTGTGTGCTGCTTCGTAATTGCCTGAGTAGCATGTCCACAATCGTCTCGCAACTACGAGGGCCCGCATGCCACTTGCAAGTAGACCATCGACTCGCAACTGGTCTTTTGTGCTGTTGTTATGTTGTTGTTTTTGTTATTTTTGTTCTTGTTGTTGGTTGTTGTTGTTATTGTTGTTGTGTTGGTTGTTGGGGGTGTTTACTTGATTCCACCGAAAGCTTGACCATCTACTAGCAAATGGTCTACTTGCAAATAGACCATCGACTCGAAACTAGTCTGTTCTTTTTTACTTTTGTAATTGTCCTAGTTGTAAGTCCACCATAGAAGCAACAGTGGGTGCCCGCATGCCAGTTGCAAGTAGACCATCGACTCGCACCTAGGGTTGTTTTACTCGATGCCACTTGCAACTTGACCATGGACTTGCAACTGGTCTGTTTTTTATGTAGTTTTTGCAATTGCCCTAGTTGCAAGTCCATCATTGACTCGCAACTGTGAAGGGCCCGCATGCCAATTGCAAATAGACCCTCGACTCGCAACTGTCTGTTGTCTTTTGTAGTTTTGTAATTGCCCTAGTTGCAAGTCCGCCGTCGAGTCGCAATTGTGG